AGAGAGAGAGAGAGAGAGCAAGCGGATTGTCAACCCCATGCAGCAACAGAAAAGAAAGGATGGTTTGATGGCCAAGATTATTTTGGCAGAGTGAGGCTCATAACAGTGCTCAAGAAAGTGGTTGTCCTGTGCTTGTTGAACTTGTCTTTAGTTCCTTGTCATATTTCACCCATGTCATTTGCATCACTGAGCCTCTGAGGTATTTAGAGTTCTTGACAGTGACAATAACCTGTGTTAATTGGATAGACATACTATGGCAATTGAGGCCTTATCTCATGTTGTACTACATGGGTATTGCCATCATTTCTTAACATATAATACAAATCAATCATGTGAAAGTGGGTCGACATTTAGCATGTCAAGCTGTACATAATGGCATGAGTCTAGTGTACCACATGCCTTTAGTAGTTTTAACTGTTTGTAAGACTTACAATTCACAATCTTTCCTAATACATCCAATCTAAGGGCAGGGATTATCTAATTCGTTCTTGAACCAGTATGATCTTGACACAGTTGTTGAGCATCCTAATCTTTAGCACATTTATCCTATCTGAGGCATCAAAGGCCCCTAGTGTTCCAACTTCCTCTTTGTATATACATATTGTTCATGTAGATTATGGGCATCAATGGGGAGAATGTGTAGAGAAATCTCGTTAAGTCTTACCAAAGATTGAAAGGATTTATATATACACATACATTCTTGGTGTAATGACTGAAACACTCTTACAAGAGGGTATTGAAGAAGCTGACTTTAACGAATACTACCATGACAAAGCAGTCTGGACAGTGAAGATAGGCAAACTAAATACTTGATTAGTTCTTTTGCCTATAGCCTTTTTCCTGCGTAACTCTTTGAGCTGTTCTCGGTTAATCTTTGTTGAGTCAGTTACTAGTCTTTGGACTTTCTTGCTCTTTCGTCCTTTGCCCCCTATTTTGAACCTTCTGTTATTTTCTCTTTCACTATATAGCTCAAATTCTCCCTTGATTCCTGATATTTTGAAGCATCTTTGCTGGTTTACGTTTACCTGAAAGATAGCCCCAAATATTCGGCTAGTTCTCCCATATCAACTGCATTTAAGAAAATAACTGTAGACAAATAGGGGTAGTTGGCCAGCATATTGTAGTAATCCAAGCCTGCGGGATACGAACTCGCCCTTGAAAAATCCTTTAATTAGTGTTTTTCTGTCTTGGAAATGGTTCCAACCTAATTCCGATCCCCTTCAGTTTTCCATCTACGCAATTGGCCTCTGTGTGTGTGTGTGTGTGTGCAACACACACATGCACATAATTCATCATTACATCCCAAGAGGAATGCAATATTGAGTGAGATTAATGGATGTCCAACTGCATTTTGAAGGGATTTTTGTTTTGCTCCCTCACCAGCCCTAAATATATTCAGGCTATTCTTTGTCAATGGGCATCTCATTTATAGTCTTATGCATGTCACATAATTGCTTGTTTTTTCATTTTTCATGGTTGTTAAGATGCTCACTGGTTGATTGGAATGTTCGATTGATTGTTTCGTAAATTGATAAAGCTTCATATCAATTGCTTCTTGCCATGGCTAATTTTGTCGTTTGTACTACATTTGATACCAAAAAGTGCATCCTCATCATCATCAACATCAAAAACCTTTTCCCAACTATTTGGCATCAGCTATACATATCCTGGTCTCCATTTTGCATTGTGGCTTCAAGATTCATGAGAAGATTTAAAAACGTTTTATGTTGGCTGCCTAGCTAACACAACCCATCTCCTTTACCCCGGCATGGGACGGGTTAAGGGGAAGTTTAAAGTCCTCACCCTTCTTATAGACCACACCTCCAACTTATTGCTAGTAAAATGGTGGAGTATCCAGCCTTAGCCAATGTAGCAACTGAAACCAAACTCTTCCTCAAAATGTGCATTCCATTCCTTTAAAAACTTTCTTCCTTTGCATGACATTCCGACATTCTAGTTTTGCTTTATTTTCACTGCACAAACATATTTTGCATATTTATTGCATCTGCAACCACTAAATCCTTTAAAAACTTTCTTCCTTGGCATGACATTTCGACATTTTAGTTTTGCTTCATTTTCACAGCACAAACTTATTTTGCATATTTATTGCATGTAGTGTTTCAAAAACAGCTAGCCGGTGCCTAGGCGGCCGGGGGGTCCAGGCCACTCAGCGCCTAGTCGGGCGCCCAGAACCTTGGCGGCTCAGTAGAAAGAAAAAGGCCTCTATAGTCTAACAGTATAAGTATAGCTGTATAACACAAGATTTAGGGATTTAGTGCACATCAGATGTATAGTACACAAGTCCACATAGCACACACTCTTCCATACTCCCTAACCAGAGTTTTTTTAAATCAAAGTTTTTTTACATGGGGCAACATCCCCCATGTGATACCGGCAAGATGTTTTTTAAACGGTTTATTTCCCCTTTTGTATCTTTTTTACAAAACTTGCATCTTATGTAATTTTTATCCAAAGGATTTGGGTTGTAGCCATATTTCTAACCCGTATCACCACTTCGATTAGCTCTTGAAGAAGACATCTCAAAATAATACAAGCAATAATAAAAAGAACACTAACTTTGATTGCTTGATCTCCAAAGTTCCACCTCTAAGATGTTTCTAAGGACTCAAAATCTTCTAAAAAACCCTCTAATATATTTATAAAACATCCAAAACTAAATCTAATATCAATGGGTGATGCTTAGATCAATTTCTCGTATCTTTGAGAAACCCTTTGTTTTTGGAGTTTTTCTATCTCTAAAATAGGCTCTAATGGGGTTTTAGGTTTCAAATAAACCTAAAACCCACAATTTTGCCCCTTTAGTTTAAAAAAATGACCAAAAAATGCTCTCAATGAGGGGCATTTCTGCTCTTCGACGGCTGCCCACGGCTGGGTGTTGGACGCTTGCCTAGGCAGGTTCTTGAGCACCTCCCTTCTCTCTCTCTCAGCTATATGTATATATGTATGTGTGTGTGTGTGTGTGTGTGTGTGTGTGTGTGTGTGTGTATATATATATATATATATATATATATATATATATATATATTA